CAGGCTTTACAAACCATACTGGCTCGTACTGCCCACTTGCAACCTGCTGTCCAAGAAGCTGTTGCTGCTGTGCCAGAACCCATTCCTGATCCAGTACCCGCTCCTGCTCACGTGGTTCACATGACGCCACCTCAGCGCTATAGCGGTGATCCAGCATTGTGCCGTGGTTTCCTCAACCAAATTGATATTCATTTGGTGATGAATCCTCGTTCCTACCCCACTGACAGAACCAAAATTGCTTTTTTGATTAACCATTTGTCCTGGAAAGCTCTAGCATGGGCTAATCCCATGTGGGAGAATACGTCCCCAATGTCCTTTTCAGACTTCTTAACAGCTTTTAAACGTACGTTTGACCAACTCGGCCTGGTTGCTTCTGCTGGCAAAGCTCTGCTTAGGGTTCCACAGGGTAATAGATCTGTAGCGGATTATACCATTGAATTCCGCACTCTGGCAGCTGAAGTGGTTTGGAATAACGACGCTCTCGTAACAGCTTTTCAGGAGGGTTTGGCCGCTTACATATTAGATGAAATAGCATCCAGAGAAATGCCTGTTCTTCTGGATGATCTAATAGATTATGTCATTCTAATTGACAACCGTATTAGAGAGAGGCGTAGTCAAAGAAGGATGAATACACAGGGGTTACCTGCTTTACCCAGTACAGCATTGCTAGCATTACCTCCCCCTAATCAACCACCTCCCGAACCCATGCAATTAGGTGCTGTAGGCTTATCTGAAGCTGAAAGAACGTACCGCAGAAGGGAGGGTTTGTGCCTTTATTGTGGTAAGAGGGGGCATCTCCGAAGAAACTGTTATGGTTTTTTCCCCTCATATGTCCATCACCAGACAATTTATTAAGGTTACTCTTTTGGTCAATAAAACCACGATAACCACTAAAGCCTTGATCGATTCAGGTGCTGCAGACAGCTTTATGGATGAGAACTTTGCTAAAAACTGCAGCCTTGAATCTGATCCAAAAGGCCACACCCTTGGCCATTGAGGCCATAGATGGTAGACCACTTGATAAACCTCTGGTGACCCATGAAACCCAAGAAATGGTTATGGTCGTGGGTGTCTTAAACAAGGAAAGGATAACCTTCCAAATAATTGACTCCCCTACAGCTTCCATCATTCTGGGCTTTCCCTGGTTAGTTAAGCATAACCCGGTACTCGATTGGGTTTCTCTAGATATACTCTCCTGGGGGGTATCTTGTCAACAATACTGTATGGCCCGTTTACATCCCGTTTGTTTACTTAATGTGCCTACGGCTAAACCACTTTCTGTTTCTGTCCCTCCTGTGTATGCAGACCTCGCATTGGTCTTTGAAAAGAGGGAAGCTGATAAACTACCCCCACACCGGGATTATGATTGTGCCATAAACTTGTTACCTGGAACGATGCCTCCTAGGGGTAAGGTCTATCCGCTTTCTGAGAAAGAAACCCAGGTCATGGAGGAGTACATACAGGAATCCTTACGGAAAGGTTTTATCAGAACGTCCTCCTCTCCGGCTGGTGCTGGTTTCTTTTTTGTTGCCAAGAAAGAGGGGGATTTGAGACCATGTATAGACTATAGGGGCCTGAATAATATAACAATTAAAAATGCTTATCCTATCCCTCTCATTACTGAGTTGTTTGACCGTGTTAAAGGTTCTAGATATTTTACTAAACTAGACCTCAGGGGGGCTTACAACTTGGTTCGGATAAAAGAAAATGATGAATGGAAGACAGCGTTCAATACACGCAGTGGGCATTACGAGTATCTAGTCATGCCTTTTGGACTGTGTAATGCTCCTGCTGTCTTTCAGGACCTCATAAATGATGTCCTTAGAGATCTACTGCATGTCTGTGCTGTGGTTTATCTCGATGATATATTCAGATTTTCTCCTGATTTGGAGTCACATCATGCCCATGTGAGGAAGGTACTTAAGAGATTGCTACAGAACGGTCTTTATTGTAAATTGGAGAAATGTTTATTTGACCAGAAATCAGTACAATTCCTAGGGTACGTCATTTCTGAAAAGGGGTTCAGCATGGATCCTTCTAAATTAGAAGCCATATTGTCTTGGCCTCTCCCTCAAGGCCTTAAGGCAATACAGCGATTTATAGGCTTTGCCAATTATTATCGCAGGTTTATTAAAAACTTTTCATCGGTCATTTCTCCTATCACAAAACTAACTAAAAAGGGTTTGCACCCCAGGGTTTGGACTCCTGAAGCCATCAAAGCCTTCGAAACTCTCAAAAAGGCATTTGCCACTGCCCCTGTGCTACACCATCCTGATCCTTCCCTTCCCTTTATAATGGAAGTAGACGCTTCAGAAACAGGTATAGGAGCTGTATTATCACAAAGATTATCTTATAACGAACCCCTCCATCCCTGTTGTTACTTTTCTAAAAAACTGTCTGATTCGGAAAAGAATTACGACGTTGGAAATAGGGAACTATTAGCTATTGTGATGGCATTTAAAGAGTGGAGGTACTTATTAGAAGGAGCTAGACACAAAATCCTGGTTATAACTGATCATAAGAATCTCTCCTATAGAGCTGATGCTAAAAGGTTGTCCTCTCGTCAAGCCAGATGGTCCTTATTTCTTTCACGCTTTCAGTTCATTATCACATATAGGCCTGGGTACCGTAATGTCAAGGCTGATGCTATCTCCCGACAATACGAACCTTTGGAGTCTATCGCCCCCACTCCTGAACCCATTGTACCCACGTCTAAGATAATAGCTGCTACCCGTTTAGTTATTTCGTCTCTTTTCCTTGATGGTATCAAGGCATACCAAACCCAAGCACCCTCTGAGACACCTGTTGGTAGATTATACGTGAAAGAAAAAGATAGAAAGAAATTGTTAGCTTTATTTCACACCACCAAAACGGCTGGCCACCCAGGGGTTACCAAAACATACAAGGGTCTCCTTCAACAGTTTTGGTGGCCTTCACTTAAGCAAGACATGGTGGATTATGTGCAGGCTTGTCGTGTTTGTGCACAGTGTAAGTCCCCTAATGTCAAGCCCCCAGGACTCCTAATGCCTTTATCCGTACCCAAGAAACCATGGACCCACTTATCCATGGACTTTATTGTGGATCTTCCTTCATCCGATGGAATGACAGTAATTTTGACTGTGACTGATAGATTCTCTAAAATGGCACACTTTATTCCACTTAAGAAACTACCTTCTGCGGTTCAGTTGGCTCAGGTATTTGCCAAAGAGGTTTTCCGCTTGCATGGTATACCACAGGATATCGTATCTGACAGGGGTCCTCAATTTGTCTCTCGGTTTTGGAGGGGCTTTTGTGCTGAGATGGGTTTTCCTTGTCGTTTACTTCCTCCTATCATCCACAATCTAATGGAGCGGCCAAACGGGCGAATCAATCTGTGGAGTTATATTTACGTTGCTTCACGAATGCACACCAGGACAACTGGTCTCACCTCCTTCCTTGGGCTGAATTCGCCAGGAACACTGTGACTCATTCGTCCACTGGCTTAAGTCCTTTTATGGTTGCTTATGGGTTCCAACCCTCTGTCCTTCCCGGCGTGTTCTCCGACAAGGGAATACCCGCTTTGGACGAGCACCTCACCTCCTTACGGAAGATGTGGGATCAGGTCCATGCTACTCTTTCTCGTGCGACTGCTACTCAGAAGAGATTTGCTGATCATCGTAGGGGTGCTGCTCCCTCTTATGTCCCGGGTGATAGGGTTTGGTTGTCCTGTAAGAATCTCCGCCTCAGGGTCCCCTCAATGAAATTCGCGCCCAGGTTCCTTGGCCCCTATAAGGTATTGCGTAGGGTCAATCCTGTGTCCTACTCCCTGGCCTTGCCTCCTTCCATGCGTATACCTAACACTTTCCACACCTCCCTTTTGAAGCCCCTGCTCTGTAATCGATTTTCTGGTCCTCTCAGGCATCCAGATTCCCTCCGCGCTGTCTCTAATGACGTGTACGAAGTGGCTGCTCTGCTTGATTCTCGTTTTTCTCGGGGTCGGTTGCAGTATCTGGTTGATTGGAAGGGTTAAGGTCCTGAGGAGCGGTCCTGTGTTTCTGCCTCTGACTTGAATGCGCCCTCTTTGATCCGCTCCTTTCATGCGCGGTTCCCTTTGAAGCCTTCGGCTTCCCGAGGGGGGGGTTATGTCAGGGATCCGCGGGCGGCTAGGAGGGGAGGCTGCACGCCACTTGCAGCACTCACCCTCAGTCCATCGCCGCCCGCGGTCTCCCCTCTGCTTACCTGTCGGCCAGCGGCGTCTCATCTCTGCCGCTCGCCGCCCGCGTCCTCCACGCCCCCAGCAGCAGCATGTATAACGCTGCACGCTGGGAGGTCAATGAATTATGTAAATGCCGGGGTCACGTGAGTGACCCGGCGTTAAAGGAACAGTACCACAATCAAAGTGGGAGGTATAGATATCCCCCACGTGTGATTGTTAATTCTGATTGGAAATTATCCAATCAGAATTAAACCAAGGGTATTTATACTTACCTTTCCTGTCCCTCAGTGCCCTGTTGTGGTCTTGTGATACCTGTAGCGTAGTGTTCTCGTCTTGCTCTCTGGTTTCCGATTATTTGGCTCGTTATTCCGATTATCCTGTCTTCTCCACTCCTTTGACCTCGGCTTGTTTCTCGTTCTCCCGTTTTCTGGCTCCCTTTACTTGGCTTGTCTCCTGACCATTCTTAGTGTGCTTAGTCCGGCCACTCTAAGGACCGGTATAGCACCCTTCCTCTCTGTGACCTGTTAGCGTGTAATTTCCGGAATCGTGACAACGCCTAACAGATAGAGCATCTAGTCTCAGAACCAAAAGACCACCTCCGGATAAAACCATCAGATGCATTGCAACATTTAACAGTGGCTGGCCCACCGTGTCTGATACTCTTCAGAAACACTGAAGACAAAAAGAGAGAATAATCTGTAACAAAATAATGTAGGAAGAAGATATAAGCAAAATACTTTATTGATGAAACTAAAAACAATCACAGACTCCTGCTCAATCCCTGATCCCTGCTATCTCGATAATGGATAATCGAGGTAGCAAATGTGATCAAGTGATACCTCTTATTTAAGGCATATCACCTGATCACATTTGCTACCTCGATTATCCATTATCGAGATAGCAGGGATTGAGCAGGTGTCTGTGATTGTTTTTAGTTTCATCAATAAAGTATTTTGCTTATATCTTCTTCTTACATTATTTTGTGACAGATTATTCTCTCCTTTTGTCTTCATTCATTACTTTAGGGTTACCCCCTTATCTGTCCACCACTATATACATTTAGGACCCATATAGGGCCAATCTTCTAATTCTTCAGAAACACTGGCCCATACTAACACACAACCTTGACCTTAGCACAACATTGTCTAAACATCCACCAATCCATCACAGCTCTTGAATCTAGGAATCTTCACGATTTACTGGTACATAGCCATCCTGAGAAAAAACCAACAGACACACATTGGCTAACCCCTACCAAGGGCACCTACCGCTGTGGCCATTGCAAAGCGTGTAAATCCATCCAACCCGGTAAATTTACTGGGTCATCACAAACCAACACCACAGTTGACACCAATGCCTTCATTAATTGCAGTACTACGAAGATAGTGTATCTTATTACATGCATATGTAGAAAACAATATATTGAGAAAACATACCAAAAATTTAGGAGACGGATCCTTCAACATGTCAACTCTACCACCCACGTTGGCAACCTCACTCCCATTGCCAGACATTTAATTAATTTCCACAATGCAGACCCCAACCACCTAAAGTTCCAAGCCATAGAGAAACTAACTCTAAGCTCACGTAAAGGAAATTTCAATTTAAAACCACTACAGAAGGAATCTAGATAAATCTATAAATTCCAAACGATGGCATCCCAGGGGTTGAATGAAGTAGTAGGCATGTGCATGGGAAAATATTTCGGTTCGGCATTCCGAAATTTGGGACTTCGACACTTCGGAACTTCGGCAACTTCGACACTTCGGAACTTCGACACTAAGGTCATTTCGGAACTTCGGAACCTCGGCAATTCGACACTTCGGAATTTCGGAACTTCTCTTGCAGCCGCTTGGTAGATAACTCCCTAATTCCCACGGTATTAGGGAGTTATCTACCAAAAGGCTGAAAGATCTAAATTTGTCTTTCAGCTTAGTATTAGTAAATTGTGCACCTACTCGCTATACTGCGAGTAGGGGCATGTCTATTAAACAGTGAGAAGCTGCTCAGGGGTGGGGGCCAGTGGGGAGGACATTAGGTCCCCTCCCCAATTAATATTTTAGGACACCCACCCACCACTCAGGGGTGGGGGCCAGGGGGGAGGACATTAGGTCCCCCCAATTAGTATTTAAGGCTCCCACGCACCGCTCAGGGGTGGGGCCAGGGGGAGGACATTAGGTCCCCCCAATTAGTATTTAGGGCCCCCATCTACCCTCAGGGGTGGGGGCCAGGGAGGAAGACATTAGGTACCTCCCTAATTAGTATTTAGGGCCCCCACCCACCGCTCAGGGGTGGGGCCAGGGGGGAGGACATTAGGTCCCCCCCAATTAGTATCTAGGGCTCCCACCCACTGCTCAGGGGAGAGGACATTAGGTCCCCCCAATTAGTATTTAGGGCCTCCACCTACCGCTCAGGGGTAGGGGCCAGGGGGAGGACATTAGATCCCCCCCCATTACTTTACTTTAAGGCCCCCTACCCGCAGCTCATGGGTTGGGGCCAGGGGAGGACAATAGGTCCCCCCCTTATTTTACTTTAGGGCCTGTGGCGAAACCAACCTCGCCACTAGGCACTGGAGAAGCCTGGTTGCCAGCCTCCTGCCATCTGACTATGGCCCCCTTGTGAATTCGTACTTTTGTATGCAATATTTGGGCATGTGACATTTTATATATTGCTGCTACTGGCCCTTTAAGGGCCATCCGTGGACATATTCTGACTGTTAGGAATAATACCCTTTAAGATTGTGTAGCAAATTGCATTCAGGCTGTATTTAATATTATGTATTCGGTAAACAGTGTTATGTGTATGCAGCATTAGTACAGACACAAATTCCCTGGGATCCAGTATCCCAGGGAATTTGTGTCTGTACTAATGGGATTATGTGTCACACTAAGGGGAGGAGATGTGTGGGAGGTAACTGGTACATTATTGGCTGGGGTACTAATTGTTGTGGGTCCCTCCCTTGCATGGGAGAATGTCTTAAAAGGAGGTTGTGTGAATAAATCTGCTGATTCTGCTTAACCCTCAAAACGAAGTGTCGTCTTGTTATTGGGGGAATTGGATTGTGTGCTGACTGCCAGGCGTGTAAGCTGTTCGTATTGCTTTTCCTGTTCGGCTGCTTCCAGAGTTCGTGTATTTCTTGTTCGTGAGTGGGGTATTCGTACAATTTGGAGTTCGGGAGGTTGGTGATTGCAGTAGCTGCTGGTCTATGGGAAAGGGGATTATCGCCTAAACGGATTTTATCCCCTTTTGAGAGAAACGGTCCGTTACAGGGCCCCCACCCACCATTTGGAGTTGGGGGCCGGGGGGGCAATAGGTCCTCCATTCAGGTTAGGAGGGGGAGGGTGGACTTTTTTTTTTTTTTTTTAAAAGACATGCCCCTACTCACGGTATATACTTTATTTCTCTTTCTTTTTCCTTTATTATGTTTATGGGGGGAGATTGATAAGACCAGGCATTTTATTAAGGGGTGCCCTCGAAGGCACAAGACTCAGGAATCTTTATTCTATATGCCTTCCTCTGTCACTGTCTGTATATTTTCTACTACCTAGGCAACCTGTTTAAAAACTGTTTGTAAACCCTCTTTTTATACTTTGACCTATTATTTAGATGCAGCTAGCACTTAGGCAACTTGCGTGACTTTTAACCTGTTAACTGCTGCCTGTCAGCAGTCCTTCACAGGTGAGCTACTACTTGGTGCTCCACTGTGGTCAAGCATAAGTTAACATCATTCAGTGCAGGCAGCTGTTGTTACACTAGAATATACTGCTAGGTATCTTGCAGAAAAAACTGAGCCTGGTCAGCAACCCCTTATTTTATACTTTACTACTTGACAGCAACCTTTAATTTATTATTAAAATGCTGCTATGATCTAGGCAGCTTTTGTGATATTTAACTGGCTTATCGCCGTCTGTCAGAAATCTGTCTTAGCTGAACCTATTATCTTTGATCTTTCCGAGGTTAAGCACCATAGAACATTATCAATTATTGTATGTGGAGTTAACCCATGTCGTTAGTTGTACTATCATGTAGGGATTTACTTATCCATATCTTTTAATTATTGAGAGCTGGTTTAGCAGTTGTCTTATCTCCCCCCTCTTGTTACAGCTATTAGTGATATATAATATAGTATCACTTCTATTACTTGGGAATACACTGTTATATTGTAGCTAAACAGTATTGCTTCAGCATTAGTGTTATTATGTATACACTTTTACAGCTTGTATAAGTAGTCACAGAGTTTTACTTGCTGTATAGTCTCCATTTACTCCTGCTGTTCATATTATATTTTTTTCTTTTTTTTAATATATTTTTCTTTTAGATTTATTTATTAAAAGTTACTTTTTAACCTACAATTTTCTCAGTAAATCATACACAGGTAGAATGGCATTTTTTTCTTTTTTTGTTTATTCTCTATGACATTATTATTTAATAACCGCTTTGTGCCGCATGTACCCAGATATCTGTTACAAACTCTTATAGTATCCAGTGTCACGGTTACAAACTATACTTTTTAGACAGTTCTGTAACTTTGTATATTACTTGATACAGCCACAGTGGTTTATTTCTGATCAATTGACTAACATTAAGACCAAAGGGACATTTGTACTTTTATGTATATATGTCTTTTTTTACATATACAAACTATGACATTTCTAGGTTTAACACATAATCCTTACCCATATGTCAGTCTGATTAGTTTGGCAGTTCTCATTACCTTATCTCTATATACCTTGCTTTGTCTCCACCTACTGGTCACAACAGGTATAGCTGTTATCTGTATATATTTTTTTCTTTTGTGCTTTACTGTTTTGTATATATTAAAAGTATGATGCACAAGAATATAGATGGCTGATTCCTGTGCAAAAAGATGACTTACTGAAATAGTTATATAGACATTAAACTGTACTTTTTTACCAACTTCAAAGCTCACAAAATTTAATGGGGTACCTTGGCATTGTGGCAGGCTTATTCAATATATGATCATAACAGTAAAAAGCAATCACTATATGCTCTAAACACAAATAAACCTTTAATGGAAAAGTGTTCCCTATGGACACTTAATGTTTCAAAAAAAGCCCAGAAAAAAACAAGTAGGGGAAATCATGTAATATGTCACCAAGATGTGAATTATCTATCTATCTATCTATCTCTATATCCTGCGTATAATAAAACTAAAATCACAAGGTATCTGGAAAAAATATATATAGTGGAGTATGATCAGCACAGAGGTGGGGGGTAGAGAACTCACAACAGGGACAAACTGACAGCTTTCTTTGCCCCATGGCTAACTTATCTCTTGAGCCCCTTGATTTATTTATTTTTATGTGTGTGTGTATGTATATATATTTATATATATTTTTTTTTTATTATTATTCAAAATGTTGGTTGTTGCACATACATGCGCAAAGACAAACTCACTACACACATCTCACTACAGACAGCTTGCTCTGACATACACAACAAGCTCTCTACAGACAGCTCACTGACATGTACACAATGTCACTACCCACAAGCTCACTGACACATTCACAAACTCACTCACACAAGCTTACTTCTGAAAAATCACTACATACAAGCTCACTATTGAAAGATCACTGCACACAGCTCACTACAGACATCTCACTTCACACAAGTTCACCAACAGACATTCATGATCACTATAGAAATAATCACTACACATCGCTCACAACGCACACCAAGCTCACTACAGAAAGCTTGTTGACATATCCAAGTTCACTACAAACCTCTAACTACACACAAACCCATGCAGCTCACTACAGAAATCTCACTACACACAAGTTTACCCACAGACTTTCAAGATCACTATAGAAATAATCACTACACACTGCTCACAATGCACACCAAGCTCACAACAGAAAGCTCATTGAT